TCTGCCTACAGCTGGAGAGCAGGCGCCAGCGCCGCGCGCTCACGGCCGTGCCGGCTTCAGCGACCGCAACGCAAAATGGCTGACGCCGGCCAAGGCCAAGAGGGGCCCGCCCGAAGGCTGCGCCGTGAGGCCATCGCCATCCAGCGACGGCGAGCAAGAAGAAGACGTCTGGGAGATGGAGGAGGAGGATGGGAGCAGCGAGGAGATGGTCGATGATTATGGTGCCTCATCGTCTGAGGAGGATGAAGTAGGAGCTTTTTGCCCTTAATCTTGGTGGGGGGAGGGGGCAGTGCGGGGAAAGGTCATTTTGCTGGCTGTAAGGACCCACTAGGCTTGGTGGGAAAGGGTAGCCTTGCTGGAAGGCAGGATGGGGAGGTAGAGAAGCGCTTTATCCTTTCCCTTATGAGATCCATTTCAAGTTTAGCAACTGGTCCCGGCGGGACACTCGAGGCCTTCATCTGTTGTTCCTTTTAAACAGAGCAAGTGTATTTCACAGAGGTGGCAGAGACTAAGGGGCACTTGTTGATACTATTTCATTAACCTTCTGTTTTTCTCTTTAGTTGCTGCCCATTGAAAAAGCCGCCCTGAAGCAGAAATCTGACAGGTGAGGATTCAAGAATGTCCCGGGCCAGCAGTGTCTTTATCTCTTGGAATGAGGAGCCTGGGTTGTTCATTGACAACTGGTATCTCTTGGATAGAAGAATTGTTCGAGAACCCTGTAGAACCCTGCGTTTTTAAATTTCTTTTTTTTTTCTTTTTTTTTTTTTAACACTCTTTATACCTAGGGGGGGCCTTAGTGAAGATGACAGTGAAGAAGAGGAAGAAGAGGAAGAAAAGGAGGAAGAGGAAGAAGAGGAAGAGAAGGTGTCAGAAAAGATAAGCAAGCAGAAAAAGGAGCAGAAGAAAGAAGAGAATGTGGATCTGCAGCTCAACCTGGATATAGATGAGGAATTCAGCTTGCCAACTGATGAACAGATTGAGAGGGAGAATATCCTTTCATTTGTGGTGTCCATAAGCTGCTATGGCTATGGCACCACAGAACTTCACTTGCACTCCATGGTGAATGTTGCAGAGCGGGATTTGTGCCTGACAAGTCATTTTTGGTTGAATTGCCACTAACTACAGTCAATGGTAGCTTTGTGGCTGTGCACTTCTGTACAGCACAGGCAACTGGCTATTCCCTATTGCATGTTTGTCCACCCCATTCTTAGAGCCTCTGGCCACAGCAGTGTTATCACCCAGACTGTTCTTGGGCCTTAGTGTTTTTTTCATCTCTCTTTTTCCTCCCCAATCCAATTTAGTTACTTATTTTGGGCCTTCTTTCCTCTTAGTAGTTGCCTTTAGAGAACTTCTAGTCTCCTTTCTGCTACAAGCAATGCTTTCAGCGTTGAAAGGCCTTTTTCATGTCTCCTGTTCACCAGGAGAAAAGTTCAACTTTTTTTTTCTGCTCTTCCAGACTAACAAAGCTTCAGCCCTTTCAGGCACCTAGTTTTCCCTGATTTGTGAGTTGCCTTGTTAGGTTGCTGTCTTTGGAATTCAGTGCAGTGCAGAGGCTGCGCGAGCTCCAGCAGGGCCTGTCCTGTGCAGCTGCTGCATGCGGTGATCCAGGCCTCTTGTGTGGAGCTTGGGTCTGAATTCCTTGGCAGTTACAATTCCTTGATGGTCCTTCCATGTGCGGAGCCCCCTGACCTGCATGTCATTCACCAGCGCATCAAGGGCAACATGGAGGTGCTGCAGGATTTTGGGGTGAAGCGGGAGGAAGGGCGCACGCGGCAGGAGTACCTTGCATTGTTGCGCCGGGATATGGCTGCCTACTATTCCTACAGTGACTTCTTGCTTGGGAAGCTCATGGACATCTTCCCGCTGCCTGAGGTGGGACCCTGTTCAGCCCATGTTTGCTGACTGGTGGGGGATTTGGCTTCCAGAGCTTCATTTTTACCTCAGATTCCCTGGTCCTTCCTTCCTGCAGCTGATAAATTTCTTGGAAGCCAACGAGGTTCCGCGCCCTGTGACCATTCGCACCAACACCCTCAAGACGCGGCGGCGGGATCTGGCGCAGGTCAGCAGGAACCCGTAGCTTTCTCCTGCCCTGGCTGTTGTGCAGGGTGGCTCGGAGGCCTCACTCCCGTTGCTTTTCCTACAGGCTCTAATTAACCGTGGCGTGAATCTCGACCCCTTGGGGAAGTGGTCAAAAACCGGACTCATCATTTATGACTCCTCTGTGCCCATTGGTGAGATTACCCTTTCTGTCATTGGCCTGAGCTGAGCCTCCCCCGACTCCCCTCCTTTCTACCTGTCGTCCTGTGCTCTGCCTCCCTGCCCAGGTGCCACCCCGGAGTACCTGGCCGGCCACTATATGCTGCAGGGAGCTTCTAGTCTCCTCCCCGTCATGGCTCTGGCTCCGCAGGAGAATGAACGTGTCCTGGACATGTGCTGTGCCCCCGGAGGCAAGACCAGCTACATAGGTGCATTGCTGCCACCTTTGTGGGGAGGGCTGATTCGCAAAGTGCTGCGTTTCCACTGGTCCCTTTGGAAGAGGGGAACAGGATGGCGCTAAATTTAGGGAAACGAGGGATGTGATTTGCCCTATGGGCAAAAGTGCAGGCAGTCTTCAGCCCCTTGACAATGTATTTGGCCCATCAACAGCTCAGCTTATGAAGAACACGGGCATGATCCTGGCCAATGACAGCAACGCTGAGCGGTTACGTAGCGTGGTGGGGAACTTGCATCGCTTGGGAGTCACCAATGCTGTTGTGAGCAACTGCGATGGACGCCAGTTCCCCAGGGTGAGTCCCTACCTGTCCTGGGGTGTCTTACCATAGTTAACTAGATCTGTGCCATTCCTGCAGTAAGGCTGTGCTCCGGGAAGTCACTTGTCACAGGATGGTGGGCAGAGTTGTAAGGTTTGGTGTGGAGAGCAGAGTGAGATCTTTCCTGCCTCCCCTGTCTTCTGGTTCCATTTCTGGTCTTAGTCTTGTCTCATACATCATGAGCATGACACCAAATGTGTGTGCCCTGCAGGTGCTGGGAGGATTTGACCGTGTCTTGCTTGATGCTCCTTGCAGTGGAACAGGTGTCATTTCCAAAGATCCTGCTGTCAAAACCAACAAGGTGAATGAGTGTGGGGGTATGAGATGGGGCCTCATATGCAAGTAATGTAACTATGGAGAGGAAAGACTTTCTGGGCAACTTCATTCTTGAGTGTTTTCTGCAATGGCAAAACTGTATTTCCCACTCTTTTTTTTTTCTGTGTTGCACTGGAACTTGCTTTTTGGGGGGGTTAGTTCTGATGAAGACCCCTGAATCTTGATGTTCTATCATATGTGCTTTGCTGTCCTGTCCTTTCTTCATCCGCTAGCTTGTGAAGCCTGGGGTGCTTCCTTATGCCCCTGCCATCCAAACCTCTCTGTTTCAGGATGAGAAAGACATCCTGCGCTGTGCCCATCTGCAGAAAGAGCTGATTCTCAGCGCTATCGATTCGGTCAATGCGGCCTCAGAGACAGGGGGCTACATAGTCTACTGCACTTGCTCCATCACAGTAAGTCCCCACTGGGCTCTGCTAGGAGCATCTGCTGTTCAGGGTACCAACAAGCCCTGAGAACTCATGTTGAATCCTGGCAGGTGGAGGAGAATGAGTGGGTTGTGGATTATGCCCTGAAGAAACGCAACGTTCGTTTGGTGCCCACGGGCCTGGACTTTGGCAAGGAAGGCTTCACCAGGTGTGTGCCAGGCCACAGGCTGCACGGGCAGCTCTGTTCCTTGGTGGCCAGGCTTCAGTATCAGTATTCCAGTATTCCTCACTCCGTTTCCTCTTCCAGATTCAAGGACCGTCGCTTCCACCCCTCTCTCAAGTCTACACGTCGTTTCTATCCCCACACTCACAATATGGATGGGTTCTTCATTGCCAAGTTCAAGAAATTCTCCAATGCCATTCCTAAGACACAGAAAGGTGACTTAATACTAGATTTCTTGAGCTGCCTGGGCCTTTGGCCGCAGGCTGCTTTCCCTGCAGAAGCTGTATGGGTTCTTCCTAAGGTACCTTTCTCTCTTCCAGATGAAGAACCTGCTGTGGAAGCAGCCAGTCTGGTGCCTGTCTGTGATGCCATCATGAAGCCTCAGCCAAAAAAGAAGAAACTTGAGGGATCAAAAGCTGCGAAAGGACAGAAGAAGCCACAGTCTGCTTTGAAGAAGAGACGCTCTTTGCTGGCACAGCACAGACCTGCGAAGGCTGGCCGACCCTTTCCCCGGGTGTTAGGGGCTCGAGGCCCTGCCAGGAAGAAGCCTCAAGCGAACCAGAACGAACAGTGAGGAACTGCTTTTCCAGGTGTTCATCCTCTTTCTGGAGCGTAAAGGTGGAGAGCTGTTCTGGCAATGCGTGAACCATCTTGTCTTCCCTGCTCTGAGCAGGTAATCACTGCAGTGAGTTGAGGGGACAGCACTTGCTCAGTGTGCTCCTTTCTTCCTTCTGCAACAAGGACTGACACCGACCTATTAAAATATATTTTTTTCTTTTTCTTTTTTTTTTTAACTCTTATTCTTGTCCTTTTCCCTTGAGCATTGAAAATAGGATTTTTGTCATACCCACGTGTTTCTGTGCCACAGCAGTCCTTTCCACTCTCTTATGATGCTCTCACATTCTCAGTGTCTGTTCTCACTGCTGTTGCCATCCTGCGACACAGAGGTGCGTGAGGAAGCTGAAGGCAGTGGTGGCACATGGTGGCTGTGTCGGGGGGGGACTCTATCTCCTACTCCTAGGCCAGTGTTCCTGTGTTTGTCCCCAGTTCTTTGTTGTCTCTGGGTCCTGTTCCATTTCACCCTTTTGCTCCCCTCCAGCACTCTCTTGAACCGCAGTGGGGACTGATGCTGGTCCTGGTACTATGCAGGCAGGTTCTGTATCTTTGCCTTTTTGTCCACCTTCTAGATGTGGTTGTTTCTCCTTGAGCCCTATCAAGGTGCGGTGTGGTGTGTTGCTGTTCAGTTGTCAGCCCAGGTCCCTTTCCCGTGTCAGTGTAAGCTAGGGGGTTTGTTTTGGGAGTCTTGGAGGGTGCTCTGTGGTCTGGCTGGTGAATAACGTTTCTGAGACACGCTCTATTAATGAACTTTCTCCTAAGAAAGGCTCTCTAGCCCCTGTTATGCACCCCAATATGCACGGAGGTAGATGTGTAACAGACCCGAGGCCAAATTCTTGACTCTTGTAACTTGTCTTGCTATCTCACAGTATATACCCAGGCAGCCACAGACAAGATAACAAAAGAGCCCACTGGGAGTAGGGGCCAATAGGACCACAAACATCAAAAACATCAATGGCAAAAAGGGCATAATCATCTACTCTTTTATTAAGCTTCAAAGATTGCTAGTGGGTCTTGCGTCTGAGCCCATGCCTGTGTGTGCACGCACTTTCACAGCTCACTCTGGTAGCTGGTTGTCAGACCTGTGCTCCCTTTGGTATCCGTCTTTGAGACCTTTTGTCCTACTTGCTGGTGGTCCAGTTTGAAGTCTGTCGGCAGAGTATAAGTGCACACAGACGCAGAGAAAATGGGTTAGAAGTAGAGGTTAATAAGAAGATAAGGCAGACTGGGGATACAGTGCAGGGCTCAGCATGCTAAGCAGCAGCCAGCTTAAAGGTGTTGGGCCGTTGTTTCTTCCTGCTTTGTTTTCCCATCCTCGTTCCTCCTTATCTAGGTTTGATCCTTCCCCTAAATACCCCCTAATAAGTTCTGATCCAATAATCCCTCTTAAAACATTGCATAATAAATTTTACACAGTCCCACAATTTGCCTCAGCCATCGCATAAGAAGTTTGCGCTTTCCTGCAAGACCCCTGGTCATCTTGCACTCTCTCCCTGTCAGTTACAAAGTTGACCCTCTTCCAAAAAAAAAAAAAAAAGGCTTGCTAGGCACAAGGAAAGGAGTTACGGAGAAAAAATTGAGATAATTATTGCATCCTTGTATAACATAATAGTGCATGAGCATCTTTAGTACTGCAATTGTAGTGTCCTTCTCGAAAGGAATTGTAAAACCGGAGAATCTTCAGAGAAGGACAGGTAGGTCCTGACTTATGGAATAGTTCTGTGAGAGGTACAAGAGTCTAAATTTGGAATGATGTAGTAATCTATAAAACTAAGTGACCTGGAAAAGATGAACCGGGAACAACTGCTTGCTTCTGTCTCGTATATAAACTAGGAATCAAACTAGTAAACACCATTGGCTCAGAAAATAAGCCATGGATTGCTGGAGACTGGAAGAATCTTATGGGGAAATACTGCTACTCACTTGCCTTGTTTGTATATGTTTGCTTATTAGTCATCTTGTATTGGGAAAAGATTATTGGGCTTAGCTGGATTTTTGATCTGACCCAGTACAGCAGCTCTTCTCTCCTTGAGATGATCCTACTGCAGTGTTTGCCCTTGGATACTTGCTGGTGATCCTGAGCTTTACTTAGTATCTCTCACTGAGGAAATTTTCCTTCGTGAAAAATTTCCTAACTCTGTGACATGTATGTGGGGCGACAAGAGATTTCAGGTAGGCCAAGTTCTGCTTGCCAAGTGTCATTTCTTTTCCAGATGTAGCAGGTTTCCCTGGAAATAGTGGATTATAGGATTTTAGCTTAAACCTCAAAGTTAGACTTCTCTTACAGCCTTTTGGCTATAGGGTGACTTGTTTCTAGAAATTTTCCCTGTCCTTTCAGGAGTTCAGGTTATTCTGTCATGCTTTGCTGCTGCTGTATTTTGAGGTTCCTGCACTAGTATGCCATCCCTTGGCTTGATAAACTGGTTATCTTGATAAATCCCCATGACAGAAATGGAAAACCTTGGTCAGGATCCCAACGTAATAGTCTAGAGTCAACCAAAGAAGCCTTATAAGGGTAGTTGGTAGCTTCTATCTTCCAGACTCTGGGATGCTGCCAGCTTGTATCTAGGAAGGAGGGAGAGTGCACTGAGCTACCACATCCTTCACTTGACAGAGGGGAGAAACCAAAGCCTTCTGGAGCAGAGGCTAGAGATTGTAAGGGAAGCATAAGGAAACAGAAGAGGATCTTGCAACAGTTTAGGTTCATCACCAATTCCAGTGATGTCACACACATTGCTACAGTGTCTGCTCCATGCTGGGTAGGCAGCCGTAGCAGTCAGACACATCCCTCTGCCTGTGCAGGGCTGGCCTGGGCTTGGATTGCACCTCTCTGGGAACATGGAAGCACTGTGGACACAGGGTGAGGTGTCCTGAACAGCCCTGCATGTAGCCAAGTGAGCCGCAGCGGTGCCATTGCTGAACTCGACCTAACAGACCCATGGCAGGAGCTATTGCAGGGTCTGGAGCAGGGTCACAGGTTTGGGGGAATCATGAAGGAAGGTGAGGAGGAGGAGGACCTGTTGTGCTGCAGGGAGGTTTAGGTGGAGGAGCACTGCCTTCCCCTGGGTAGAAGGGTTGTCTCTCGGAGATACTAGAATCATAGAATAGTTGAAAAAGACCTTCAAGATCATGAAGTCCAACTGCGAGTCCTTCATCACCATGCCTGTTAAATCATGCCTCTAAGTGTCTCATCTACCCATTTCTTGTACACTGACAGAGATGGTGACTCTATCACGTCCCTGGGCAGGCTGTTCCAATGCTTGAATACTCTTTCCATGAAGAAATTCCTCCAAATGTCCCTGGCATAATTTGAGGCCATTTCTTCTCCTATCAGTAGTTCTTCTGGAGAAGAGACAGACCTCTGCCTCACTGCAACCTCCTTTCAGGTAGTTGTAGAGAGTGATAAGGTCTACCCTGAGCCTCCTCCAGACTAAACAGCCCCAGCTCCCTCCACTGCCCAGCCCCTTCACCACCTTTCTTGCACTTCTTTGGACATGCTCCAGGACCTCAATGTCTTTCCTGTAGTGAGGGGCCCAAAACTGAGCATAGCATTTGAGTACTAGAGGTATTGAGGGGAAGACACTTTTGATGGTTTCTTAACCAGCCTCCTGCTGTGCCGGCACTAGATGATATCATTGTACTTACGTGTCACTGAGCCCTGAGAGCCTTCAATGATGGAGATTCTGCCACTTCCCTGGACACCCCTTCCTGTGCTGCACCATCCCCTTGATGGCAAAGCTTTTTCCTGATGGGGAACAATGCCCTTTTCCACTGACATTTCATTTATCAGTAATATTTGGAGTATGTGAGAGGAGGAGGAAGCTGGCAGAAGACCTGTGTGCAGGCAGGGCATGGAGTGTATTCAGGGGTGATGTTGGTGGGCTCACGGCTCCCCACTGGCTGCTCCTGCTATTACACTACCAGATGTCGGGAATACAAGTGAGAGATGGGAATGGAGCTGTGAGAGGGACCTCTTGTGTCCTTGAAGAGAGTTTTCCTGTTGTTTCCCTTGACCATACTAGTGTTTTCCATGCTTCAGCGTCTGTTTTCAAAAGCAGCATAAGGGAACAGCTATCTGAGAAAAGAGGTAAAGCAATAAAATACAAGTGACAGAGAAGGTAAACTAGCTACATTTCCCACCCTAAGTGTTTGTTGAAGGGACTGAAGTCCAGTTATGACTTGTAGCTGTCTTGGGTGTGTTCGGGCTGAAGTAACCAAACTACAGATGGAGCAGAAAAGGGCTGTTTCATAAATGGAAATACGGGCTGCTGGGGGGAGTCCGGATGGGGCAGAGGAGAGAGGTGGCAGGCTACAAAAAGCACGACATGGATGTTGCACAGCAAGGCTGCAGAAAGGAATAATTTTGAGGGCTTGGACAAATTTGGTCTCCTCCCAGGCCAGGAAGGCAGGAGTGTAACGGTGGAGGCCTCCAGGCCCAGAGGAGAAGCAGCAGCTCCCAGCTGAGAACTGGGAAGCTGGTCAGCCTCAGCAAGGCATTGGAATTCGTGGAAGGGTGGATGGGACCATACCCAAATCCCAAGGAAAGGGCTGCCGCACACAACCAAACTAGAGCCAAACATGGAGCGCTCCATGTAGCGCAGTGCTGGACATTCAAACCTCTTGCGTGCTTGTCCTTTCCAGGCTGCCCAGACAGGATCTTGGAGGCTGCCCTGCCCAAGTGCCCCACTTGGCTTCACAAGGAGCAAGCTGTGGGCTGGGGCCACACCGTGAACACGCACAGAGCCAGCGAAGGCTGCTCCTAGGCACCCTCAGTGTGGCAAGTGCTTTGCCTGTGGATTGATTCATGCTCAGGAATGAAGGCTGGAGAGCTGTGGTGAACGATGAGGAGCAAGCCTGTCCCCACTGTGGCGTTTTGGGGCTGGTTGCCACCATGCAGCCTTTCAGGGGGCTGCTTAGGGGCTAGGGGCAGGGCTGCCCACAGCAGGGCAGTCAGATGAGGTTCATGCACGGCCGGGGGGAAAAGACGGCGCCTCGGGAGAAAGCGTTCGAGGTTCGTTTTTACAACTAAACCGAACAAAGCAGGCACCGAGGCACGCAGGCCTGGCCGCCAGCGCTGATGTGGTGCCGGCAAGAGGTGCCCGTCGGGCCGCGCGCCAGGGACGGCTGCGCTGCTGGCGCGGGGCCCGGACGGCTCCTGGCGGGCCC